CCAGGTAAGCCAGTTGAGAACAAGTTCTCATTTACAACTGCGACCTGGCCAAGATAAAGCATAGCAGTGCGATAAAAACAACAACACAGAGTTACATATGGGGTAAAAATACATAAAGTCAAAAAAATACAACAGAAAATATATATACAGTGTGTGCAAATGTAGCAAGTTATGGAGGTAAGGCAATAAATAGGCTATAGTGCAAAATAATTATAATTAGTATTAACACTGGAATGCTAGATGTGCAAGAGATTATGTGCAAATAGAGATACTGGGGTGCAAAAGAGCAAAATAAATAACAATATAGGGATGAGGTAGTTGGGTGGGCTAATTTCAGATGGGCTGTGTACAGGTGCAGTGATCGGTAAGGTGCTCTGACAACTGATGCTTAAAGTTAGTGAGGGAGATAAGAGTCTCCAGCTTCAGAGATTTTTGCAATTCGTTCCAGTCATTGGCAGCAGAGAACTGGAAGGAATGGCGGCCAAAGGAGTTGTTGGCTTTGGGAATGACCAGTGAGATATACCTGCTGGAGCGCAGACTACGGGTGGGTGCTGCTATGGTGACCAATGAGCTAAGATAAGGCGGGGATTTGCCTAGCAGTGATATATAGATGGCCTAGAGCCAGTGGGTTTGACGACGAACATGTAGTGAGGACCAGCCAACAAGAGCATACAGGTCACAGTGGTGGGTAGTGTATGGGGCTTTGGAGACAAAACGGATGGCACTGTGATAGACTACATCCAATTTGCTGAGTAGAGTGTTGGAGGCTATTTTGTAAATGACATCGCCGAAGTCAAGGATCGGTAGGATAGTCAGTTTTACGAGGGCATGTTTGGCAGCATGAGTGAAGGAGGCTTTGTTGCGAAATAGGAAGCCGATTCTAGATTTAACTTTGGATTGGAGATTCTTAATGTGAGTCTGGAAGGAGAGTTTACAGTCTAACCAGACACCTAGGTATTTGTAGTTGTCCACATACTCTAGGTCAGACCCGTCGAGAGTGGTGATTCTAGTCGGGTGGGCGGGTGCCAGCAGCGTTCGATTGAAGAGCATGCATTTAGTTTTACTAGTGTTTAAGAGCAGTTGGAGGCTACTGAAGGAGTGTTGTATGGCATTGAAGCTTGTTTGGAGGTTTGTTAACACAGTGTCCAATGAAGGGCCAGATGTATACAAAATGGTGTCGTCTGCGTAGAGGTGGATCTGAGAGTCACCAGCAGCAAGAGCGACATCATTGATATACACAGAGAAAAGAGTCGGCCCAAGAATTGAACCCTGTGGCACCCCCATAGAGACTGCCATAGGTCCAGACAACAGGCCCTCCGATTTGACACACTGAACTCTATCTGAGAAGTAGTTGGTGAACCAGGCGAGGCAGTCATTTGAGAAACCAAGGCTATTTAGTCTGCCAATAAGAATGCGGTGGTTGACAGAGTCGAAAGCCTTGGCCAGGTCGATGAAGACGGCTGCACAGTACTGTCTATTATCGATCGCGGTTATAATATCGTTTAGGACCTTGAGCGTGGCTGAAGTGCACCCATGACCAGCTCGGAAACCGGATTGCATAGCGGAGAAGGTACGGTGGGATTCGAAATGGTCGGTGATCTGTTTGTTAACTTGGCTTTCAAATACTTTCGAAAGGCAGGGCAGGATGGATATAGGTCTGTAACAGTTTGGATCTAGAGTGTCACCCCCTTTGAAGAGGGGGATGAGCGCGGCAGCTTTCCAATCTCTGGGGATCTCAGACGTTACGAAAGAGAGGTTGAACAGACTAGTAATAGGGGTTGCGACAATTTCGGCGGCTAGTTTTAGAAAGAAAGGGTCCAGATTGTCTAGCCCAGCTGATTTGTAGGGGTCCATATTTTGCAGCTCTTTCAGAACATCAGCTGTCTGAATTTGTGTGAAGGAGAAGCGGGGGGGGCATGGGCAAGTTGCAGCGGAGGGTGCAGAGTTGGTGGCCTGGGTAGTGGTAGCCAGGTGGAAAGCATGGCCAGCCGTAGCAAAATGCTTGTTGAAATTCTCGATTATTGTAGATTTATCGGTGGTGATAGTGTTTCCTAGCCTCAGTGCAGTGGGCAGCTGGGAGGAAGTGCTCTTATTCTCCATGGACTTTACAGTGTCCCAAAACTTTTTGGAGTTAGTGCTACAGGATGCAAATTTCTGTTTGAAAAAGTTACCCTTTGCTTTCCTGACTGCTTGTGTATATTGGTTCCTAACTTCCCTGAAAAGTTGCATATCGCGGGGGCTATTTGATGCTAATGCAGTACGCCACAGGATGTTTTTGTGCTGGTCAAGGGCAGTCAAGTCTGAGGAGAACCAGGGGCTATATCTGTTCTTAGTTCTGTATTTTTTGAATGGGGCATGTTTATTTAAGATTGAGAGGAAATTACTTTTAAAGAACAACCAGGCATCCTCTACTGACGGAATGAGATCTATATCCATCCAGGATACCTGGGCCAGGTCAATTAAAAAGGCCTGCTCACTAAAGTGTTTTAGGGAGCGTTTGACAGTGATGAGGGGTGGTTGTTTGACCGCGGACCCGTTACGGACGCAGGCAATAAGGCAGTGATCGCTGAGATCCTGGTTGAAGACAGCGGAGGTGTATTTAGAGGGTAAATTAGTCAGGATGATATCTATGAGGGTACCCATGTTTACGGATTTAGGGTTGTACCTGGTAGGTTCGTTGATAATTTGAGTGAGATTGAGGGCATCTAGTTTGGATTGTAGGATGGCCGGGGTATTAAGCATATCCCAATTTAGGTCACCAAGCAGTACGAACTCTGAGGATAAATGGGGGGCAATCAATTCACATATGGTGTCCAGGGCACAGCTGGGGGCTGAGGGGGTCTGTAGCAAGCAGCAACAGTGAGAGACTTATTTCTGGAAAGGTGGATTTTTAGAAGTAGAAGCTCAAATTGTTTGGGCACAGACCTGCATAGTATGATAGAGCTCTGCAGGCTATCTCTACAGTAGATTGCAACTCCACCCCCTTTGGCAGTTCTATCTAGACGGAAAATGTTATAGTTGGGGATGGAAATTTCAGAATTTTTGGTGGCCTTCCTAAGCCAGGATTCAGACACTGCTAGAACACAGGGTTGGCGGAGTGTGCTAAGGCAGTGAATAACTCAAACTTAGGAAGTAGACTTCTGATATTTACATAGCCTCGTTATTGTTATTTTATTGTTGCTCTTTTATTTTGTATTTTATTTAGTACATATTTTTCATAACTCTTTATTTTTCTTTAAACTCCATTGTTGGTTAAGGGCTTGTAAGTAAGCGTTTCACGGTAAAGTCTACACCTGAGTTATTAGGCGCATGTGACAAATACAATTTGATTTGATTTGAATGGAGAGAGAGAACGTTCTCGCTGAGTTTATAAAACTGTACAAAAACAAACAAACAAAAAAAGCACTGTTTTGGTTGCTGTTACTCCCGTCCATTTTGCAGAATGCAGCCTTTTGACAGCATGTACTAAAGTCGATTTAATCCACACTGTCCCCACTTTTTTGTTTTGCCAACTGGGCCTCAGGTGTGTGGAGGGCTGGCTGAGGCTTAGAGCTGGAGCAGAGCACTGGCCTTTGGGGGGCAGAGTCATATAGGATGGAAAAAACTGAAGTTAAGGAAGTATTTGTCATGTAAATACAATTAACATTGATAATAATGTACAAAGTCAAAAAGCCCAGAAGTTATTGTTGTGAATTGGAGGGAAGAGGTCCCTCAACCAATAACAGTTGGTTGTATTCATGCAAGTCATATTGGGTTGAAGCTATTGAAGTTTTAAGGAATAATTTTTTTATGTAAATTCAATTTAAATTAATTGAAAATAGCATAAATCAAAAAATACAAAGTAATTTCCGTAGATTGTACAGACGAGGTCCCTGAATCAATAACAGTTGGTTGTATTCATTAAATTAAATTAATTGAAAATAGCCAAAGTAAAAAAATAATAATAATAATAATTGCCGTAGATTGTACAGACAAGGTCTATGAGCCAATAACACCTGGTAGTATTCATGAAAGTCATATGGGGTGAAAGCTATTGACGTTTTAAGGAAGTGTCTTTAATTTAAAGTCCATTCAATATCATAGAAAATAGCCATAGTCAGAAAATACTAAAGTATATGCTGTAGATTGTACAGACAAGGTCTCTGAACTCATAACAGTTGGTTTTATTTATGAAAGTCCTTAGGGGTGGAAGCTATTTAAGTGTTAATCAAGTCTTTTTTTTTTTACATTTAATGATATTAAATTAATAGAAAATAGCCCAAGTAAAAAAATACAAAAGTAATTGCCTTACATTGTATTGATGAGGTCCCTGGACCAATAAAAGTTGGTTGAATTCATGTTAGTCATATGGGGTGGAAGCTATTGAACTTTTAAACAAAAAATGTTTATACATTAAGAGAAAAAAATCATTGAAAACAGCCAAAGTTAAAAATATATACAAAAGTTATTGCCATAGATTGGATGGTCGAGGTCCCTGAACCAAAATTGGTTGTATTGGGTGGAAGTATTTGGGGTGGAAGTATTTACGTTTTTTGGAAGTATTTATCTGTAAAGTGATTTATTTTTATTTTTATAAAGTTACAACATTTCCGTCGATTCGAGAGAAGAGGTCTATGAACAATGTCAAGTTGATTTGAGAGCGATGTCATGTGATTGAGAAATGATTGACATGTCCCATCAACATGCAAAAGTAGGCGTTGCAGTTTTAAAACCTGACTGCTGAGCGGAGGAGAGCAGTGTTTTAGGTACACTTCGACTCCAAAAAGAAAATACGACACCGAATTGCAAAAACAAGGGGTGTAACTTGTTCGCTATCGTTAGCTGGTTCATATGTAATTTATATAATTCTTGCACGTTCCGTTTAAGAGGTATTAACGAGTCCAAATCTTTAATATAAAGCTAACTACACCGCATTCTCACATTCTGACTGCGCTGCCCTCTGTAGCGGGTGATTTACGTCTCATGTTGGGGAGTTAGCTAGTAATACTGGTGTTTAAAAGATGAAGTTGTCTTCTGTTGTAGTAACATTGGTATTAACGGTGGGTATTCCATATTACATATATGCACCGTTACCTGCTGCCATCGACGAGCCTTTGAAACTGATGCTGCTGGACGCCTTATTCCGTGCTGTGCTGCAAGTGGTAAGAAACAAGAAGAATAGCTATAAGCGAAATCATACTTTACATTGCATTAACTTGACAGTTTTTTTTATATTAACGAGTAATAGGCAATGCAATGTTTTTTCTATTACTCTACCTATGTATCGCAGTCAGGTGCAGCAGGTTTAGGCCTATTGGTTTGAGACACTGAATTGGAGGCTATAAATAAATAATATGCCATTTAGCAGACGCTTTTATCCAAAGCGACTTACAGTCATGTGTGCATACATTTTTACTAGCTAGATAGCTTATAATGCAGCTAACATGTGACGTGTTGTAAAGCTAGTTAGTTAGTCTGAACAAGTAGAACATGTGAACTGATTTTGTAGAAGTAAAACAATGCTTTACTGTGCTTTCTCCAACCCTTGTGTGAAATCATATGTGGATAATTGATTTGAACTAGCTAAATGCAGCACAAGCTCTTTTCTAGTGTGTGGGTGGGTGTGTGTGTGTGTGTGTGTGTGGGTGTGTGGGTGGGTGGGTGTGTGTGGCCCTTCACCTAGATTTCACACAGTCATGGTGTAAGTAGTGCCTGGGGTAAATACACGTAAACACACACACTGGGGTGAACAGAGCAACTTTAGCCATGTTGTAACTAGTGCCAGTGGAGAAGTGAGCAACATTCACAATGTTGTCGAGGCTTTAGGCTAGTAGGTGAAAGGACAGACGGAAGCAGATTGCTAAAAGTGTCCTTGGGGAGCCCTATCCTGGTCAAAGATCTGTGCAGTCTTGCCAACTCCTATGGTGGTATTTGCTAAGGGTGTGACAATGACCATAAGAGTTGGTAGGACAGAACAAACACTCACTCTCAAGTCAAAGCCCTAGCCTCTAGAACAGGGTTAGCATACTAAACTACCAGGGATACTCCAGCTCTCTCAGACCTCATTCAAATGTCTCTCTCTCTCTCCATCTCTCCCCCTATCTCTCTGTCCTTCTCTCTCCCTCTCCATCCCCCCTCTGCCCCAGGGTGACCTGTGCCAGTGTCTGGGTCTGAGTCATCACATCCCAGTGATTCGGGGGTCTGTATCGGGGCTGGAGTTCCTGGGGGAGATGGCGGGAGGGCAGGGAGGTGGGGTGAGGGTGAGTGATGTGGACTTTGACGGAGTCCCGGTGCGCTTGTACGAGCCCCCCGCCGTGGGGGGAGGAGAGGGGGGGCTGAGGAGGGCTGTGATGTTCTACCATGGAGGAGGATGGGCCCTGGGCGCCGCCAGTAAGTGGAAAACTAAATAAAAAAAATTAAAAAATTGGTGGGTGCTTATATTTATCTTATTTCACACATGTACAAGTGTGTGTGTTTGTTTACAATCATAAATACATCTAGTTCATGATGTAACCCTAATGCAACAACCTTTGGTTTCTCACCGTCTTCCTCTCTCTTTCTCTCCTTCTCTACTCCCCCCACCTCTATCTCTTTCCCCTCTCCCTGTCTTCCTCTCAGAGATGGGGAGCTATGATGTCTTGTGTAGGCAGATGTCTGATGAGCTGAATGCAGTGGTTGTGTCTGTTGAGTAAGTGTGTCTCCTCTTTTCACACTGTATTAGCTTCAGTTCTACACACACACACACACACACACACACACACACACATACACACACACACACACTCAACATGAAAGTCTTGGGTTCTTATAACGCCATAGTAACAAGTTAAGGTTTGGACATAACTGTTAAAAATAGTTTTTTTGTAACTTTTACCATAAGTGTGTGTGTGTGTGTGTGTGTAGGTACCGTTTGGCTCCAGCAGTGCATTTCCCTGTGCAGTATGAGGACTGTCTGGCCGCGGCCAAGCATTTCCTGGATCTGGGCATTCTGGGAAAGTTGTCTGTGGATCCACAGCGGGTGGCCGTGTCAGGCGATAGCGCTGGAGGAAACCTGGCTGCAGCCGTCGCACAGCAGGTAGACACACACACACACACACACACACACACACACACCTGTCTACACAGACACACTAACACACTCTCCCTCTCTTCACAGATCTCGGTAGATGACAGTGTGAGTGTGAAGTTCAGTGTTCAAGCGTTGATCTACCCAGTCCTCCAGGGTCTAGACCTCAACACTCCATCCCACCAACAGAACCACAACATGCCCATCCTACACCGCTTTATGATGGCCAGGTACATGCACATGTTCACACACACACACACACACACAGTCACACACACACACACCTGTGTTAGTAACCCTTCTCTCTCTTTCTCTGTAGGTTCTGGCTGCTCTACCTGGGGGTTGATACCTCTCTCCATCCCCTCCTATTGTCCCCCTCCTTACTCCACCATCCCTCCATCCCTCCCTCCATCCGCTCCCATATCAACTGGACCACCCTTCTGCCGGCCAAACACATGAAGCATTACAAGCCTGTTGGCATGGAGACGGGGTCACAGGAGGTCACGGGGCAGGAGGGAGATCTTCTCCCGGGGTTGCTGGATGTCCGAGCGGCGCCGCTGCTGGCGGAGCAGGGGGTTCTGGGTAGAACCCCGCAAGCTTACATTCTAACGTGTGAGTACGATGTGCTCAGAGACGATGGGTTGATGTACACCAGGAGGCTGCAGGACGCGGGCGTCACGGTTTCCAGCGATCACTATGACGACGGTTTCCACGGCGCCTTGAGTTTTGCGCACTGGCCGTTTTCCTTCGATGTGGGGAAAAGAATGATCAGAGGATACATGGACTGGCTGCAGGAAAACCTCTAGTGTGTGTGTGTGTCTATGCACCATCAAACTGGGTTGGACTGGTGTTTTAAACTGCGTTAGAATGTAAGAATATAACACAGATACTGTTCCCTGATTGTAGCTGTTTGCACTCTGGGGTGTGTGTGCATGTGTCGCAATACGTTTGCTTCCATTAAACACACACACACACAGGTCATCCTATCTCAGCGCTGCTCACCTGACCTGAACAATACATATGCTGCGTTTTAAATGTGCAGTCTGTTATCTGTCTGTCCCCTCTGGTCACAGGATGCAATCCACAAACAAAGGAGGCTCAAACTAATACACAAAAATAAACGTCCATCTAAGCCAATCAATGCGCAGTATTAGAATGTAGTAATCTGGGTAATCTGATGACTCCATAACAGTCCTAGTTCTAGACTAGATTGGGTTAAATTATGTTATGTGTACAACTGGGTTATGCATCAATGCAATCTAAATAGAATTGTGCCTACATGGAAAAACAATGAGTACTCAAAAGGTAGTGTCATACAACACGATCCCCTGGTGCTGTAAAAAGCAATAACAAAACATGAAAAAGTATGTTCTTTAGACAAGGTATTGAGTGCGGACTTCATCTACAACCTGACTGTATTTAACACACTTTTCAACCCACAACACTGTGAGAGCTTGATTGTTTTCCACTGAACAGAATGATCTCAGTTGTCCCCAGTAACTGCTGCTGGGTGTGAGCACTTTATGTACAATTGTGATTGAAATGGTTGATAGATTTTTAACCCTCCAATAAATACTGATCAGTTTGAGTGTTTCTCTTGTTTTATAGTGTTTGCCTACATTGTTACACACATACACACAGACACACAGACACACATACACACAGACACACATACACACAGACACGCACACAGCAAGTGCAATATAGACACTTGAGTTTCAAAACGATTTCAACATTTAGATGAGTGACACATGTATAAAGCATGATACTTTTAGCATGCTGCTTATTCTACCAATCCAATGATAGCTCTATAGCGTTTAGGAAATTAGTTGTGGTTAGGAGGGAGGGGGCAATGGGCGTCGGTCAGCCCGACCAATCACAGAGGAGATACCAAACCAACTTTCTGGGGAGTGTAGTTTTTATTTCCATGACATTCAGACTACACACTATAAAACTACAATCCCTCAAGGTTGACCTATCATACACGGTTCTAAATATGTTCACCCTTCAAGTCAATCCCCCTCCAGATCTACCTCGTTCTTGACAGCCCATTCAAAAAAGACCGTCTGGTGATTGGCTCAAACGCGCGTCACTTTCCTACAGTGCCCACCCACTCTCATACGTCAGTCAGACAGCAATGGCGGCCTTCGCTGTAGCACGGAGCAGTTGTGGTCTGCTTTCTGGACTAAAAGCTTCTTTTAAAACATTCGGACAGGTAAAACATGGCGTGGCTGCGGCAGCCGTTGCACAGTCCCAGCTGCACCAGCAGTCGCGGCGGTGGTATTCTGTCAGTCATCTCTCCGTTCAGGAGAGGATAGACCGAAAGAGGAATGCTGCGCTGGTCGGAGGAGGTCAGAAGAGAATTGACGCGCAACACAAAAGGGTAAATAATCTATGCATGCGCGTGTATCTATCTGTTTGTCTGTCTGTCTGTCTGTCTGTCTATATAACGTTTTGTCTGTCTTCCACAGGGGAAGCTGACAGCCAGAGAGAGAGTTGAGCTTCTGTTGGATAAAGACTCGTTTGTGGAGTATGACATGTTTGTGGAACATCGCTGCTCTGACTTCGGCATGGAAGAGGACCACAACAAGGTAACATGTCACAATAGAGGTTCCTCAATTTTATCCAGCCTTCGGACAAAATGGAATAAACTGATTAATTTGTACGTTGATTCAGTCCTCATTATAAACATGGTTTCTCTCCCCCTCTCTCTCTCTAGTTCGCAGGGGACAGTGTGGTGACTGGACAGGGAAGGATCAACGGAAGGCTGGTGTATGTCTTCAGTCAGGTACACACACACACACGCACACATCAAAGTACCGTAGTTACCATTTATTTTCATGATAAATGTTTCTCGCTCTCTCTTAGGACTTCACCGTATTTGGAGGCAGTCTGTCTGGGGCTCACGCACAGAAGATCTGTAAGGTAGGAGGACAGGCTCACTCTCCAGGGCCTGGTGGCTCACACAACTCCTGCTTCTCATTCATTACTTCTAATCACATCCCTTTATGTCTGTGTAGATCATGGACCAGGCCATGATGGTGGGTGCTCCAGTCATTGGTCTGAACGACTCTGGCGGAGCCAGGATCCAGGAGGGGGTGGAGTCACTGGCTGGATATGCCGACATCTTCCTGGTAAGGGGGCGGGGCTTGATTAGACTGGTTATTGGGATGAGGATGACAGCAAAGAAATGGCTTCTAAATGTACTCTCTCTCTCCCTGTCTCACTCGCTCTGTCTCTCTCTCTCCGTGTCTCACTCTTTCTCCCTGTCTCACGCTCTCACCCGGTATCTCTGTCTCTGTAGAGGAATGTGATGGCTTCAGGTGTGGTTCCTCAGATCTCTCTGATCATGGGTCCCTGTGCTGGAGGAGCTGTCTACTCTCCTGCCCTGACCGACTTCACCTTTATGGTCAAGGTAAGACACACACACAGTATAGGAGAACTTCAGGACCCCTCCTGCATAGATGTACTGTACAATTAATACAACTAACATGGGTTATATCCAGATCTTTGATGGCGTGTGTGTGTGTAGGACACCTCATACCTGTTCATCACAGGCCCTGACGTAGTGAAGTCTGTCACCAATGAAGACGTCACTCAGGAGGAACTGGGAGGAGCTAAGACACACACAGCCGTGTCAGGCGTCGCTCACCGTGCGTTTGAGAACGACATCGATGCTCTGCTCAACCTCCGAAACTTCTTCAACTTCCTTCCCCTTAGCAACCAGGACCCCGCCCCCGTTACAGAGTGCCACGACCCCAGGTACCCAACCACAGAACTCCTCTCAGACAGACTAGCCAATCACAGGACATTTGGGATTTTCCTGAAATGTAATCCATAGAAAGGGCCTTTGGAGGATGTTAGATCCCCTCTCATCCCTCTCTCTCCTCTCCTCCTCCAGTGATAGACTGGTTCCTGGTCTGGACACCATCGTTCCCTTTGAGACCACTAAAGCCTATGACATGCTGGACATCATCCAGGGGGTACGCCACACACACACACACACACACACACACACACACACACACACACACAGCCTGTTATGTATTCATCTGTGGTTTTAACTTTAGATTGTGGACGAGAGGGAGTTCTTTGAGATCATGCCCAACTACGCTAAAAACATCGTAGTGGGATTTGCTCGCATGAATGGTCGAACTGTTGGAATCGTAGGGAATCAACCTAAAGTAGCGTCTGGTGAGTCGAAGAATCGGATGGATGGATTAGTGATGATGATGGTGCTGATGATGGTGATAATGAGTAGTGGTGGTGCTGATGATATGATGGTGGTTGTGATGATGATGGTTGTTGTGGTGGTGATGATACTTCTCCTGTGTGTGTGTGTGTGTGTGTACAGGTTGTCTGGACATTAACTCGTCAGTAAAGGGAGCTCGCTTCGTTCGTTTCTGCGATGCTTTCAACATCCCCATCCTCACCTTCGTGGACGTGCCCGGCTTCCTGCCAGGTAGGACGCAAGTCTGACTTTCCTCATGAATAATTGGCACGTCAAAAAGTAAATGTCATTTGACAGCTTTCACTTTAATTGTCAAACTGTTGTACTGCGATCAACCAGCATTTAAAAATCGAAACAAGTTAGATTTTTCAAACGAGAATTCCACCTTCCTCATTGTTTCTCTCAGGTACGTCTCAGGAGTATGGAGGTATCATCCGACACGGAGCCAAGCTACTGTTTGCCTTCGCTGAGGCTACTGTCCCCAAGATCACCATCATCACTAGGAAGGCCTATGGAGGAGCGTATGACGTGATGAGTTCCAAGCACCTGAGAGGAGATGTGAACTATGCCTGGCCGTCTGCAGAGGTGGCCGTGATGGGAGCCAAGGTAACACACACACACCTTCTACACAAGACCAAGGTATCACACACATCCTTCTAGCCATGGCAACATTCACAATGTCAAAATTAATCACTTTAATACATTCATAATATATGGCTGCCTCTCTAACATGGTGTGTGTTTAATCAGGGTGCTGTCCAGATCATCTTCAGAGGGAAATCCAACCAGGCAGAGCAGGAGGCTGAATACGTAGAGAAGTTCGCCAACCCTTTCCCTGCCGCTGTCAGAGGTACACACACATACACACCCCATTTAATTCCAACAAACCTTACACACACTCCCCCATCGTAACCGTGTGTGTTTCAGGGTTCGTGGATGACATCATCGTGCCGTCGACCACCCGGAAGAGGATCTGTAGGGACCTGGAGGTTCTGGCCTCCAAGAAACAGACCAACCCCTGGAAGAAACACGCCAACATCCCACTCTAACACACACCCTCTCCCACCCGACCTGTCTGTCTCCAAGACCATCACCTCCGTCTGTCTGTCATTTCACCTATAGCTTAGCTCAGGGCTCTCAAACCCTGTTCCTGGAGAGCTACCGTCTTGTAGGTTTTTGCTCCAACCCTAATCTAGCGTACCTGATTCTAGTAATTAGCTGGTTGATAAACTGAATCAGGTTAGTTACAACTGGGGTTGGATTGAAAACCTACAGGAGGGTAGCTCTCGAGGAACATGGTTGGAGAGACCTGGCTTAGATACACTTATCTGTCCCTACCCTTGTGGGACTTGTTTGGAAGAATCAGCGTTTTTCTATCTGGTCAAAGTAGCACACCTGCCGTGAATCCATAGACTAGTTTGTTAAATAAAATGATTGAACTTGTAAAGACAAATGTCTGTGTTTGTCCGTGTGTGAGACTGAATGTGTGTGCTGACACGTTTCATATCCCAATGACAGTTTGAACGTGTGTGTGTGTGTGTGTAATAGAGGTTTTGTGTAATAACCAGCCAAGCACACTCACTCATCCCTGTCACCAGTGCTGGAAAAAGTACCCAATTTTCATACTTGAGTAAAAGTAAAGATGCCTTAATAGAAAATGACTCAAGTAAAAGTTAGTCACCCAGTAAAATACTACTGGAGTAGAAGTCTAACCTAAAAGTATTTGGGTTTTAAATATCCTTAAGTATCAAAAGTAATTTCAAATTCCTTATATTAAGCAAACTAAAGGGCACCATTTTCTTGTGTTTTTCCATTTACGGATAGCCAGGGGCACACTCCAACTCTGACATCATTTACAAACGAAGCGTTTAATGAGTCCGCCAGATCAGAGGCATGACCAAGGAAGTTCTCTTGATAAGTGTGTGAATTGGACCATTTTCCTGTCCTGTTAAGCATTGAAAATGTAATGAGTACTTTGGGTTTCAGGGAAAAAGTATGGAGAAAAAATTACATTATTTTCTTTAGGAATGTAGTGAAGTGAAAGTTGTCAAAAATATAGAGTAAAGTACAGATACTCTGTTGGAGCTCAGTCTCCATAGTTCTCCGCCACGTTGTCTTGGGCTTCCCGCTCTTACGCCTGCCCTCTGGAGTCAAATATACTTTTTTTTATTTGTATAAATATACACAGTCCATTCGGAAAGTATTCAGACCCCTTGACTTTTTCCACATTTTGTTACGTTCGAGTTGCCAAACGTCAGCCTCGAAACCTTAATGACTTGGAGAAGATCTGCAAAGAGGAGTGGAACAAAATCCCTCCTGAGATGTGTGAAAACCTGGTGGCCAACTACAAGAAACGTCTGACCTCTGTGATTGCCAACAAGGGTTTTGCCACCAAGTACTAAGTCATGTTTTGCAGAGGGGTCAAATACTTATTTCCCTAATTAAAATGCAAATCAATTTATAACATTTTTGACATGCGTTTTTCTGGATTTTTTTGTTGTTATTCTGTCTCTCACTGTTCAAATAAACCTACCATTAAAATTATAGACTGATCATGTCTTTGTCAGTGGGCAAACTTACAAAATCAGCAGGGGATCAAATACTTTTTTCCCTCACTGTATAGACAGGTGTGCGCCTTTCCAAATCATGTCCAATCAATTGAATTTACCACAGGTGGACTCCAATCAAGTTGTAGAAACATGTCAAGGATGATCAATGGAAACAGGATGCACCTGAGCTCAATTTCGAGTCTCATAGCAAAGGGTCTGAATACTTATGTAAATGTGATATCAGTTTTCTAAAAACCTGTTTTCACTTTGTCATTATGGGGTATTGTGTGTAGATTGATGAGGAATTATTATTTATTGAATCAATTTTAGAATAAGGCTGTAACGTAACAAAATGTGGAAAAAGTCAAGGGGTCTGAATACTTTCCGAATGCACTGTATATTTTTTTAGGGGGTAGATCAACTTTAATATTGCAGATAGATTGTGGCTTCCATCAATGTAATTGTCTGCATCATTTCCAATCCCCCATATATTTTTTTTGTATATACACTACCAGTCAAAAGTTTGGACACACCTACTCATTCAAGGGTTGTTCTGTATTTTTACATTGTAGAATAATAGTGAAGACATCAAAACTATGAAATAACACATATGGGATCATGTAGTAACCAAAAAAGTGTTCAACAAATCAAAATATATTTTATATTTGAGATTCTTCAAATAGCCACCCTTTGCCTTGATGACAGCATTGCACACAATACTAATTGATCATTAGAAAACCCTTTTGCAATTATGTTAGCACAGCTGAAAACTGTTGTGCTGATTAAAGAAGCAATAAAACTGGCCTTCTTGAGACTAGTTGAGTATCTGGCGCATCAGCAATTGTGGGTTCGATTACAGGCTCAAAATGGCCAGAAACAAATAACTTTCTTCTGAAACTCGTCAGTCTATTCTTGTTCTGAGAAATGAAGGCTATTCCATGCGAGAAATTGTGAAGAAACTGAAGATTTCGTACAACGCTGTGTACTACTCCCTTCACAGAACAGCACAAACTGGCTCTAACCAGAATAGAAAGAGGAGTGGGAGGCCCCGGTGCACAACTGAGCAAGAGGACAAACTAGTGTCTAGTTTGACTTACAGGTCCTCAACTAGCAGGCTTCATTAAATAGTACCCGCAAAACACCAGTCTCAACGTCAACAGTGAAGAGGCAACTCCGTGATGCTGACCTTCTAGGCAGAGTTGCAAAGAAAAAGCCATATCTCAGACTGCCCATCTTAATCTTTTATTTTTATTGGCCAGACTGAGATATGGCTTTTTCTTTGCAACTCTGCCTAGAAGGTCAGCATCCCGGAGTCGCCTCTTCACTGTTGACGTTGAGACTGGTGTTTTGCGGGTACTATTTAATGAAGCTGCCAGTTGAGGACCTGTGAGGCGCCTGTTTCTCAAACTAGACACTAATGTATTTGTCCTCTTGCTCAGTTGTGCACCGGGGCCTCCCACTCCTCTTTCTATTCTGGTTAGAGCCAGTTTGCGCTGTTCTGTGAAGGGAGTAGTACACAGCGTTGTACGAGATCTTCAGTTTCTTGGCAATTTCTCACATGGAATAGCCTTCATTTCTCAGAACAAGAATAAGACTGAGTTTCAGAAGTTAGTTATTTGTTTCTGGCCATTTTGCTTCTTTAAATCAGCACAACAGTATTCAGCTGTGCAAACATAATTGCAAAAGGGTTTTCTAATGATCAATTAGCCTTTTAAAATGATAAACTTGGATTAGCAAACACAACGTGCCATTGGAACACAGGACTGATATGGGCCTCTGTACGCCTATGTAGATATTCCATTAAAAATCAGCCGTTTCCAGCTACAATAGCCATTTATAACATTAACAATGTCTACACTGTATTTCTGATAAATTTGATGTTATTTTAATGGACAAAAACGTTTCTTTCAAAAACAAGGACATTTCTAAGTGACCCCAAACTTTTGAACGGTAGTGTACATATGGAGTCTACTTTTAGAACGAGTCCAATCCAGCAACACACACACAATCCAGAAATAGATTACAGATTTTATTTATTTAAAAAAGATTTTCAATAAGATCACAGAAAACAAAAACAGTATTTTAGAAGGTTAAAGGGCACGTGATGCCATCGCTACAGAAAGAACCAATCATCTCTGATATTTACAGAAGGGCAGCCAAACCAGCCAGTAGAAGAACAAGAGGGGTGGGTCAAAGTGATAAGCCAACCAATCAACTTGTAGTGACGGTGTTGTGTGTAACTACAGCCTCATCTTAAGACTAGAGGGGCACTCTTTGCTGGTCTCCTCCACCTTCATATGCACTGATCTGAAAAGAGAGGACAGGTGAAATGAATATGGTAGAAGGCTACTGGATATTAGCTGTTACCTGTCCAGTTATTCCTCATCAGTGCAGGATGAAGGAGAGGAAGTCACTTTAGACTATTGAGAGTCTACACAACATCTACAGTCGCACTGGACACACCCTTATATGGCGCTTAACAGGCTGGGTATCCATGGCAACAGCCTGAGCAGTAGGGACTCATCAGATATAAGCATTTAGGCAACCGTTTGGCAACAAACAAGATACGTTTTCAGAAAGATAACTGTACAAACAAATATTGGACAAAAAAACTAAAAACTCACTTGATTTAAAACTTTGTACTAAAGCTACTGAAATTCAAAATATATTTATTTATTATGTTTTTAAAAAGCCGCGATTCCACCGTGGGTGTGTTTCTCTGGAGCTCTGAGGGGGAGGGGCTTGGGATTTGGTTATGACGTCACAGCCTCTTGTATGGCCAATGAGAACTCTTCTAGTTCTGGCCATATTGGTTGCTGTTTGGTGCATTTGCCAATAAAACAAAATACAGGATATTCTCAACACTATCGAAGGGGAAGAGAGAGTAAAGATAGACGAGACAGGAGTGAGAGTAAAGCTAACAAATAAAAGAGTAAAGATTTATCACATTTAATATCAAGTTCCATCTGGGGGGGGGGGTGGGAGGACTGTACATGACATCGGAAGTGGAACGAAACAACCATACAACTGTGTGGAAGGGGGGACTGTATAGCCGGGAGCACAGGGCCATGAGTACCACGGAGCTAGCGGTGAGATTAGCCAGAACGCTAACAACGCTAACAATAACAGGAAGTTAAAACAAGTCAGTGGGAACCAACAGGAAGGGACGAAAGTTTACAATATTTCTAAAGAAATGTGGAACAATATTTTGTCCGATATTCTGTCCGGTTTGTAGCCAACACACCCACACGTCCACTGAACGATAAAAGATCTTCTCTATGTACGATAGATACTCTGTACGATATTCTGTCCGATATTCTCAGGGTTGAGCGGGATCCTTCGGCCGACCAGTGAGTGGATCCCTGGAGCTTCAGGGTAGATCCCAACAGATCCACATCCTTCACTGGGATCCACTCCACACACACACACAAAGCTGTCAACTGGCTGGTCAGAGTTCATCTGGGTGTGTGTGATATAAGTTCTGACCGTCTGATGTTTGATTGACAGCTCATCCTGTCGAAGGCCCCTCCCCCTTTCAGGAAGGTCTCGGAACACTGGATCAGAACATGGGCATGGTGAAACCCTGGGATAACGGAGACAAGGGATGTTGTTAAATGACAGATTGGATCACGTTTTAGATGTCTTAGGGTGATACACTAGTTAACCACTGCAAGGCTGAGTGTGTGTGTTCTCCTTACCGACTCGTCCTCGATCATGGCTGCTGAGTCGAAGAAGTCTGGTCTGAGCTCCGCCCTCTCACGCCTGTTCCTGGAGGGAGGCTGGAACGACAGAACACGAGAATGAACATATGAAGCGATAGACTGGACGAATTACACAACAGAATCGACGATCGAAACGACAGAATCAAACACGATCGACAGGAAGTGATGTCACAGCGACAGGAAGTGACGTCACTGACCAGGTCGATGACCATGGTGTCTTCGAACTCCTCGTTCATGTCCTCCAGTTGACCTCGCGATGACATCATGACGTCCTCAAAGATTGGCTCCGCGTCATCCTCCATCAGACCACGACTATAGAGAGATAGAGAGAGGTGGGGTCAGTAAACACACACACATACACACACACACACACACACACACACACACACACACACATTAACACGTACACAGTTTGTCTGACAGTCTGGTTGCGGGCCTTCATGTAGTTCATGGCTGTTCTATCCTTTCTACTGTCCTCCATCTTCTGTTGGCCTAGCCAAGACATCTGCATCTGGGGACTGCAGAGGAGAGGGTTACACACACGTACACACACACACAGACACACAGTGCACGTGCGTACACACACACACACACTTACTTGTGTACATAGTCGTTCTCTGAGCCAGGTTCAGAGTCGGGGTCAGGTAGGTGTGTGTCCGCCGCCTGCCGTGGGTTTTCTCTGAGGACGGTGGAGGTGAGCTGAGGAGTGGCTAGCGCACCCGGTGTCTGGAGGCTGTCATTACCACGCAGCCACGAGGCCTCCACACTACTCTCCTCTAGTGGACCCACAGAGACAGATGGTGAAAAACACAGACACATTTTAGCAACATCTGTAGGTGCTTGTATTTATACACTGAGTGTAGAAAACATTAGGAACACCTGCTCTTTCCTTGACAGACTGACCCGGTAAATCCAGGTGAAAGCTATGATCCCTTATTGATGTCACTTGTTAAATCCACTTCAATCCGTGTAGATGAAGGGAAGGAGACAGGTTAAAGAAGGATTTGAGACAATTGAGACTTGGATTGTGTATGTGTGCTATTCAGAGGGTGAATGGGCAAGACAAAATATGTAAGTGCCTTTGAACGGGGTATGGTAGTAGGTGCCAGGCACACCGGTTTGTGTCAAGAACTGGAACGCTGCTGGGTTTTTCACACTCAACAGTTTCCTGTGTGTATCAAGAATGGTCCACCAACCAAAGGACATCCAGCCAACTTGACAACTGTGGGAAGCATTGGAGTCAACAGGGGCCAGCATCCCTGTGGAACACTTTCGACACCTTGTAGAGTCCATGCCCTGACGAACTGAGGCTGTTCTGAGGGTAAAAGTGTGGGGGGGGTGCAACTCAATATTAGGAAGGTGTTCTTAATGTTTTGTACACTTGAGTGTATGTCTCTGTGTGTGTATCTCTGTGTGTGTGTGTGTGTGTGTGTGTGTAAGATAGACCCACCCTCGATGCGTTTACTCTTGTGTACTGGCGTCCGTCCCTTCTTGCTGCGGATGGAGCTGGTCTTGCTGCTGGCGCCTGACGTTACCGACAGCCGGTCCCCATCCTCACCTCCCGTTAGCAGACTGTTCCGGTAGGAGATTAACGGCAGCCACACGTCCTCACGACGCTCCGACATCGACTCTGACATAAACTTCTCCAGATACGAGTGACTGGGGGAGGAGAGAGAGGGGTTACACACAGTCTGCTTATTGTGCCATAATAATTTGACACACACACAGGGTAGGTACTTACACAGTCTTCTTGTCCTGTCGCAGCAGTTTGGAGGAGAACTCTGAGAGGACCTCTAGGAAGGCCAGGTTAGGAGGAGGGAACTCTGCACCATGAGGATTCTGGTACTTAAAGGCAAACTCTATACCATCCCTGTGGAGGGCGGAGGGGGGAGAGAGGGAGAGAAGAGCGAGACAAGGGGGGGGGGGGGGAGGTGAGAGGAAGAGCGAGACGAGTGGGGGAGAGAGAGGTTGAGAGGAAGAGCGAGACTAGGGGGGGAGAGAGGTGAGAGAAGAGGAGAGACGAGGTGGGAGGAGGTGAGAGGAGAGAGAGACATATGGAGGAGGTGAAGAGGAGATGACGAGGGAGGAGAGAGGTGAGAGGAAGAGAGACGAGGGGGGAGAGGAGAGGGAGAGGAAAGAGACGAGGGGGAGAGAGGAAGAGAGAGACGAGGGGGGAAGAAGTGAGAGGAAGAGAGACGAGGGGGGAAGAGGTGGTGAGAGGAAGAGTGAGATGAGGGGGAGGGTGAGAGAGGAAGAGGGAGAAGAGGCGCAGGGGGGAGGGAGAGCAGAGAGAGAAGAGGGCGGAGGGGGGAGAGAGGAAGAGAGAGAAGAGGGCGGAGGGGGAGAGAGGAAGAGAGAGAAGAGGGCGGAGGGGGGAGAGAGGAAGAGAGAGAAGAAGAGGGCTGCCGGGGGGAGCGAGAAAAAGAAGAGAAAGAGGGGGGGGAGAGAGGAAGAGAGAGACACCATAAGCTCGGAGGAGCAATTGTAACAGGGCACTCAGATGATAAAACTGGGTCAATTCTTGGAGGTTAAATAATAAAACCAGAGAAAACAATGAGTTGATCAGCTTTCTAACAGACCGTGTGTATGTTGGGTGTTTCTAACAGCCTGTGTGTGTGTTGGGTGTTTCTAACAGCCTGTGTGTGTGTTGGGTGTTTCTAACAGACCGTGTGTGTTGGGTGTTTCTAACAGACCGTGTGTTGGGTGTTTCTAACAGACCGTGTGTGTTGGGTGTTTCTAACAGACCGTGTGTTGGGTGTTTCTAACAGCCTGTGTGTGTGTTGGGTGTTTCTAACAGCATGTGTGTGTGTTGGGTGTTTCTAACAGACCGTGTGTGTTGGGTGTTTCTAACAGACCGTGTGTTGGGTGTTTCTAACAGCGTGTGTGTGTTGGGTGTTTCTAACAGCATGTGTGTGTGTTGGGTGTTTCTAACAGCATGTGTGTGTGTTGGGTGTTTCTAACAGCCTGTGTGTGTGTTGGGTGTTTCTAACAGCATGTGTGTGTGTTGGGTGTTTCTAACAGCATGTTGTTGTTCACTAATTTACTCCAAGTAGGGAAAGGATGGTGGGGTTGAAAAGTAATAAAGGGGAATATATATATATATAAAAAATAAAAATAAACATGGGGGATTGGAAGTGATGCAGACAATTACATTGATAGAAGATACAATCTATCTGCAATATTAAGCTGATCCACCCCCCCCACAAAAAAAAAAAAAAAAAAAAAAAAAAACATGGGGGATTGGAAGTGATGCAGACAATTACATTGATAGAAGATACAATCTATCTGCAATATTAAGCTGATCCACCCCCCCCACAAAAAAAAAAAAAAAAACAGCATGTGTGTGTGTTGGGTGTTACTTGTGCAGTGTAGCGACAGCCTCTCTGGTTTTGATCTGGTCCAGGCCGAAGGTGAGGGCGAAGCGTCGGGCCAACTCCTTAATGCCGCTGACGTGAGACGACGTTCTGTCCAGAGTAGGACCCTGGTCCTGAAGAAGTTCGTTGAACAGCTACAACACAGACAGTGAATAGTGAGTGTGTGGTGCGGGAGTGTGTGTCAGTGTGTGTGTGGTGCGGGTAGGTGTGTGTGGTGCGGGTGTGTGTGTGTACCTGTTGCAGACTGAGGATGAGGGTCTTGGCACAGAGGATCTTATCACTCTGTCTGGTCTTACTGAGAGTCTCCTTGATGATGTCACCATAGTCATTATAATACTGGAGACAGCAGAGAGAGAGAGAGAGAGACAGACAGAGACAGAGATAGAGATAGAGAGAGAGAGAGACAGAGAGAGACAGAGAAACCAGTCAACTATTTGGTTGAGGATACAGGAGGCAAGCATGACGACGTGTGACTATCAGACATGAAATGAAAGCATACAGGGATCAGGGACGGAAACAACAATTGTCATTTTCATTTGTCATGACTCTCTCCTTGGTGAGGATCAAAGGTGCCAGATCAGCTTGGCAAATGGCTGACAGATAGCCAGACCCCCCCCCCCCCCTCTCCCACAGGAGTGGAGAGGGAGAGGGAGGGGGGGGGGGGAGTTGGGCCGGTTTTATGACTTAACAGCTGGTCATAAATAGTTTGCAGAAACTCTCCCTCTGGTTCTCTAGTATAGTAAGACTGAAATATCTTTGTTATAGAGAGACTTTTGCCACCAAAACCTTTTTCTCCAAAATATTTGTCATCACGATGGAATGCCCCTTTTACCCAGAGTGCATAAAAAGCCTTGAAAACAAATCAACCTTTAGACCAGGAAGCGCGGAGTGGCGACTGCACGTTTAAAATGGTTAGAACTTTGAATGAGAAAGACCAGCCGACGTGAAGCGCGAGCTCGCGTTACAAATGGTTGACACTCTACAGACCAGAAAACGTGAGACGGTAGTCCATACGTTTGAAATGGTGAAACTCTCAACATCTACAACCACACACTAGACCTTATCATATCAGTCTGCAGCTGTACATGTAAAGTACTAGAACTTTCACTAAAGACACGAGTTGGGAAGGACAATCCCATCTTCCGACAACCGTTGGTACATCTGAAGTATCTATCTAACGAACACTCCACTTGAAGACAAGCAGAGTCTCACCGAAGTGGGACAGGACACTCAAACCCTTTTTGAGAAAGTGATTCAACAGAGAGACAGCTAGGCGGCAGGTAGCTTAGTGGTTAAGAGCGTTGTGCCAGTAACCGAAAGGTCGCTGGTTCTAATCCCCGAGCCAACTAGGAAAAATCTGTCGATGTGCCCTTGAGCAAGGCACTTAACCCTAATTGCTCCTGTAAGTCGCTCTGGATAAGAGCGTCTGCTAAATGACTAAATTTTTTTTATTTTTTATGTACAAAATGTAAAATATATCCATTGCATTTCTTATCCGAATGAGCGGTGGTTAGGGTGCTAAGTATTATGATTACTGTGAGCATAGTTTCCAAATGTAACAACGATATTTTGAATCTCTTGGTCTCTCCCTTTCTATTGACCCCTCCCTTTTTCATAACCTATACCGTGTGTGTGTGTGTTTATGTATTCTGTGTTATTTAGTTAAGTTAGTAAATAAATAATTAAGCCAATTTGTGTATTGCTGATTCACCAATAAGGTTAGGGTTCTTGCAGGTTCAAGGATTATGTGACGTTCAGAATGAGACTGATGAGGTTATGATTTAATAGATGACTGTTATCGATATTTACCATATATATACAGTGGGGAGAACAAGTATTTGATACACTGCCGATTTTGCAGGTGTTCCTACTTACAAAGCATGTAGAGGTCTGTAATTTTTATCATAGGTACACTTCAACTGTGAGAGACGGAATCTAAAACAAAAATCCAGAAAATCACATTGTATGATTTTTAAGTAATTAATTTGCATTTTATTGCATGACATAAGTATTTGATCACCTACCAACCAGTAAGAATTCCGGCTCTCACAGACCTGTTAGTTTTTCTTTAAGAAGCCCTTCTGTTCTCCACTCATTACCTGTATTAACTGCACCTGTTTGAACTCGTTACCTGTATAAAAGACACCTGTCCACACACTCAATCAAACAGACTCCAACCTCTCCACAATGGCCAAGACCAGAGAGCTGTGTAAGGACATCAGGGATAAAATTGTAGACCTGCACAAGGCTGGGATGGGCTACAGGACAATAGGCAAGCAGCTTGGTGAGAAGGCAACAACTGTTGGCGCAATTATTAGAAAATGGAAGAAGTTCAAGATGACGGTCAATCACCCTCGGTCTGGGGCTCCATGCAAGATTTCACCTCGTGGGGCATCAATGATCATGAGGAAGGTGAGGGATCAGCCCAGAACTACACGGCAGGACCTGGTCAATGACCTGAAGAGAGCTGGGACCACAGTCTCAAAGAAAACCATTAGTAACACACTACGCCGTCATGGATTAAAATCCTGCAGCGCACGCAAGGTCCCCCTGCTCAAGCCAGTGCATGTCCAGGCCCGTCTGAAGTTTGCCAATGACCATCTGGATGATCCAGAGGAGGAATGGGAGAAGGTCATGTGGTCTGATGAGACAAAAATAGAGCTTTTTGGTCTAAACTCCACTCGCCGTGTTTGGAGGAAGAAGAAGGATGAGGACAACCCCAAGAACACCATCCCAACCGTGAAGCATGGAGGTGGAAACATCATTCTTTGGGGATGCTTTTCTGCAAAGGGGACAGGACGACTGCACCATATTGAGGGGAGGATGGATGGGGCCATGTACCGCGAGATCTTGGCCAACAACCTCATTCCCTCAGTAAGAGCATTGAAGATGGGTCATGGCTGGGTCTTCCAGCATGACAACGACCCGAAACACACAGCCAGGGCAACTAAGGAGTGGCTCCGTAAGAAGCATCTCAAGGTCCTGGAGTGGTCTAGCCAGTCTCCAGACCTGAACCCAATAGAAAATCTTTTGAGGGAGCTGAAAGTCCGTATTGCCCAGCGACAGCCCCGAAATCTGAAGGATCTGGAGAAGGTCTGTATGGAGGAGTGGGCCAAAATCCCTGCTGCAGTGTGTGCAAACCTGGTCAAGACCTACAGGAAACATATGATCTCTGTAATTGCAAACAAAGGTTTCTGTACCAAATATTAAGTTCTGCTTTTCTGATGTATCAAATACTTATGTCATGCAATAAAATGCAAAATAATTACTTAAAAATCATACAATGTGATTTTCTGGATTTTTTAGATTCCGTCTCTCACAGTTGAAGTGTACCTATGATAAAAATTACAGACCTCTACATGCTTTGTAAGTAGGAAAACCTGCAAAATCGGCAGTGTATCAAATACTTGTTCTCCCCACTGTATATATCTTCTAAGAGTTTAATTCGGGAGATGGTAACTCGTTAAACAACTTCTTCCGTGGTGCCCCAAATTCCTAATGAGTCAATTGTTACATTATTAATTTAATCCTTCCTGAGTGACAGTTAAACAGTTAGTTGATTCGATAAATAACAGTCATCACATTAATGCAAGTCACGTCACGACACATTTCACTTTCAAATAGACTGGTGACACACAGTTTAGTACCTTCATGTAATGTTTGAAGATGTCTGCGGCAGCGGGCATGTCCACGATGTCATAGATGATGAGTTTGCTGAAGGCTGCTAGAAGGTTTCTCCTCTTGTGGAGAGCTTCTATCTTATTGGCTTCATCCTCCTCATCACCTTCTGGAGACAGAATATACACACTTAGTGGTCTGTGTGTGTAGTATATGCGTGTGTGCACACATTTGTGTGTGTGTAATAATAATAATATTTAGGTGGGTGCTTACAATTGTCCTATTTCACACATGTACAAGTGTGTGGTGTGAATTGGAAATGTGTTTTATGCATATCCCACTCCCCGAGACACCCTCAGAGTGGGGCCACGGCCAGGGTCAGCCATTATTGACGGCGACCCTGTGTGTGTGTGTGTGTGTGTGTGTGTGTGTGTCTGTGTAGCTCTAACCCATGCTCTGGTTCTCATCATCCTGGTCTATGAAGACGTGGTCCAGGATGAAGGTGAGCAGCTCGTTCTGTAAGGTGCTGTCTGGGTTGAACACTAGGGCCTCCAGTCCCTCTCTGCCCCCAGAGACCAACTGGTGACTGAAGATCATCAGCAGGTCACACAACAACATGAAGGCCTGTTGTACAGGGAGAGAACACACTATCATTAACACCTTTCTCCATCATCATCATCATCATAATTATTATTAACATCACCATCATCACTACCATCATCAGTTTAAACTGTAGTGAGACTAGTCGAAGAGGTGTAAACTGGAGTTTAAACTGGTTTACTAAACTTGAAAAAGACTGGTTGAACAGGTGTAAACTGGTTTGAGACTGGTGTAGCAGGGAGGACACACACTGCCCTCATCATCAGTTTAAACTGGAGTAAGATTAGTCAGGTGTAACTGAAGTGAGACTGGTTTATTGAACTCGATTAAGGCTGGTCCAACAGGTGTAAACTGGTTTGTACCTGTTCTTTGACAGGTGTGTTGACGTTGGACAGACACTGCTGACAGACAGCCAGGAAGGACTTCACCACTCTCCTCAGAGCCACCAGGTCATCTTTACTAGGAGCTCCCTCTGTGATTTTGACCAGCTGCCACAGTATGGAGTAGTGTGAACACTGTAGTGCCTGGACAGCAATCTGCTCAGGCATGGCCCCCTGCTCGATACCAGCCTTCAGCAGCCTGTAGCAGCTTCCAAACAGGTCCCACCGCGTCAGGTCATGGGCACTGGGAACACACACACAGAGCATGCCAGTCAGAGTCCAGGGAGGACCTGTATCTTCAAGACTTACTGAGAGGGATGGAGAGAGGGAGTCTGAAATGAGACCGTGGGAGAAAGAGAGGAAGGATGGTCTTACTTGTGGAAGGCTGTGAGTCTCTTGAGGGTCGACAGAACGTTGTAGATGTCGTCATCATCAGCCTCCTCTGCCTCTTGCAGCAGGTCTTCTACAGAGTGTGTGAATCTGTCCGTCATCTCGTCTATGAGTTGTGAGCGGGCGATGTCCACTCTGTTCATGATGGTGTACTCTTCAGAACACAGGATGCTGTAGGTCTTACTGCAGGCCTCCAGGACGTCTGTCTCGATGTGTTTCTCTACCACCAGGCGGATCTGCTTCAGTAAGGCATCTAGATGCTGGGAGAAGGAGGGAGGTCAGTAACTACAGTACATAAAGCCACCCATAAAGAAAACTTCACACACGGAAACGTCAACTAGGCCTCTCACACACACAAAACCAAGCATGAACACACACACACACCGTTCTGTCTCACACACACTCCTACCTTCTCCATACGCCCGGCGCTGTACACGTCCAGATCAAAGAACATCGGGATCTGTAGCAGGTTAGCCACCTTCTCAGAGTCGGCCTGGTACTTGGACAGGAGCATGGGCAGAGCCATGATGAAGTGTTCTGTCAGTTTGTTCTTGTCGTCTATCTGAGTCTTCCTCTCCTTCGCCGTGAGAACACGTTTCCCAGTGCCCCTGCCGACGGGTGGGTGAGCCTCCGCTGCCTGCCGGATGGTACACACCATCAACTCTATCAGGGAGCTCTCCTGTCTGTCTGACAGCACTGTGATGAGAGCGAGGAAAGGGAGAGAGGTCACTGTCTGATCGTCAATCAACTCTTTAAAAACAGATATTGTGATAAACAGATATCGTGATATAAACAAATATCGTGATATAAACAGATATCGTGATATAAACAAATACCGTGATATAAACAAATATCCTGATATAAACAGATACCGTGATCTAAAAAAATACCGTGATATAAACAAATATCGTGATATAAACAGATATCGTGATAAAAACAGATATCGTGATAAAAACAATTAACCACCGAGTTATGGTAAAACTCTAGAGATGTATGTGTCTTACCCTCCTCTCCTTGTACAGGCTCCTCCAGCAGTAATTCAGTCATACACTCCCAGTCCTTCAGCAGCTCCTGAGAACTCTCCCACAGAGAGTCCACCAGATAGGCTGCATGTTCATGGAGCTCACTCTCTAAGAAGAAGAGTACCAGCATGCGGAGGAGGTTTCCGTTGGCGCTGCTCCTCCCTCTCCTCTTAGCCAACTCCTCCTCTGCCTGGGGGTCATGTCTGCTGAACAACCTGCACACAAAGTGGAATGTTGCTGGAAAAGGTCAATATCAGCCAATAATATTGCTGAATGGATTTATCGGTTGGGTTCCAACACTCAGACAGGCAGACAGACTCACTTCCTGTGCAGAAACTCTCCTGCTGCCACGGCGACAGGTCTGTGGGCGGAGTAAACCAGGTGGTAGACATTCTCGCAGTCCTCATTGGACAACGCATCCTCACTGCCCCTAGAACAACCAATCACAAACAGTTACATTAAACACCGCAGCCAATCACAAACCATTACAATAAACACACAGGGTCCCATTATACGAGTATGTGTGTAAAGGCAAACGTGTGTGTCTGTGTGTTGATACGTACTGCAGGATGAGTGTGATCAGTCTAATAGCCTCCACAGCCACGTCATACTCCTTATCCAGAGTCATGGACACGATGCGGTCCTTGAAGCGGTTGGTGAACAGCTCCAGTTTAGGAAACAGCTCTCTGTTGGTGTAGAGGTTCTGGAGAGCCTTCAGGCACTTCAGACGTACCTCACCTTGCTACGGAGAGAGAGAGAGAGAGAGAAAGAGTGTAAGTGTATACATGCATGCCCCTGTGTGTGTGTGTGTGTGTGCGTGTGCGTGTGTGTGTGCGTGCGTGCGCCTACCCGGTCATGTAGGGTCCATCCTACATATTTCAGGTAGCTGTCGTTGAGGAAGGCGTCAGAGTACATCTTCATCCAAACTCCAATCTCCTCAATACAGATAGCTCTGATCTCAGCTATAGCATCCCTGAAACACACACCAATACCTTTAACATCATCACCATCATCACTACTTTCATTACTGTGTGTGTGTGTGTGTGTGTGTGTGTGTGTGTGTGTGTACCTGTAGCGGTGGACGAAGATTCCTTTAAAGATGGAGTTCATCATGTTCTCAATCTCATCCTGGTTCTCTTGGAGCTGTTGGGGGAAACAACATAGTTAGGAGGTCAGTGTGTGTGTGTGTGTGTGTGTGTCCAACCACCAGCAGACCAATCACGTACCTCCTTCCTCTTCTGCAACAGCAGCTCTAGCTTCTCATTGGCTCGTTTTCCGGCCATCTTGTTCCTCTCAGCCTCATACTGTCTCTGGGTGTTGTCCTGGTGGATACTGAGGTTCAACGCTACATTAACCAACGCTGTCATCAACTTCATCGCTGGAGGGAGGGAGAGCGAGAGATGAAAAGAGAGAGAGACAGGGCCACAATACAACTGATCTTCAAGAACCAAAAATATATCTTTTAGATAGATCTTGTAATCTACACAGAGCAATGAAACTGGTCTCCAGTTCTTTCAGAGAGAGCGAGAGCGAGAGAGACAGGAGACAGAAAGAGAGAGACAGGAGACAGAAAGAGATAGAGAGGAGACAGAAAGAGAGAGACAGGAGACAGAAAGAGAGAGACAGGAGACAGAAAGAGATAGAGAGGAGACAGAAAGAGAGAGACAGGAGACAGAAAGAGAGAGACAGGAGACAGAAAGAGAGAGACAGGAGACAGAAAGAGAGAGAGAGAGAGAGAGAGAGAGAGAGAGAGAGAGAGAGAGAGAGAGAAAGATAGGGAGGGGACAGAAAGAGAGAGGGAAAGGGAGTCTCTTACCTGCCAGTGTGCTGGTGTGTCTGAAGGCTCTGACCTGCGAGTCAGATAGTCCCGTGAGGAGGGATATGACCGTGTCCATGAGGTACTCATCATAGATGATGCTGTACTGGCACTGACGTATCAATACGCAGATGAACTCACAGAAGTTGTAGCGGAACTTCTTCCACAGCGGCCCGGGCATGGTGAGAGGGTAGTCCCCACTGTCCTGTAGACCACAGACAGACATGATCAATACATGATCAATATGTTTATCTATTACCGGGGTGAGGGCATAGAGAGAGAGTAGTCAATCAATTCAGATGTATTTATAAAGCCCTTTTTATATCAGCAGTCACACTGTCATCACATTACATCAATACGTCAATACATACATCAGTCTATATCCCCCCACCTATCCCTCCCACCATCCACTCATCCGACCAATGACAGCGTCGATGTATTACCTCGTCAAACTCCTCCGTCATCTTCCTGATGATCTCAGCGTTCTGCATGTTCCGGAACATCTCGATGCGCACTGTGCCTGAAGAGGGTTACACATAGCCACAATACAACCTTTTAACAACCACAATACAACCATTCAACCTCGAAATTAGGCCTATAGAATCAGAATATTGGCTGGTGTGTAGATAGCAGTATGTTCACTAACAGTAGACTATGTGTAATACCTTTGCAGCCAGAACACTGGATGAAGAAGTTGATGAGGTCCAGTAAAGCGATGTCTCTGTCCTGCTTGTATGACTCTATCCAGTCATCTACCACAGACTGCATGGCACTCTTCCCCATTCTGACCACCTCAAACAGAGTGACGGGGTCTCCTCCCTCTCCGTTGGTCTGAGGGACCCCATTGGCCTTCCTCCCTTTAGCACCGCCTGTAGCCTTCTCCGCGGGGGACTTCCGAGGCTTCTTATTGGCTGCCTAAAAGGGGGCGGAGCAAAGGGTTCGGATATACAGGAAGAAACTATGTACAGAGATGGAATCGGACACATTCACTCCCTCGTACACACGCACACATAGAAAGGTGTTCTTACCGGTGGTCTCCCAGGCCTCCCTCTCTTCTTCTTGCCTTTAGTGTCTGTCGGGTCCTCCAGCTCACTCACACTCATACTCAGACTCACTGTGTCTGCCGCTCCGCTCTCGTTGGACGAGTCCCTGCAACACACACACACACACACAATATACTTATACCGAGAGGGATACACATACATAATTCTACCCACACTCAGCGGTCACAACATACATTACACACACACCTACGTTCGACTAATTACCGCATCAGGGGTGTGTTGTGATGTGAACTCTTAATGAGGCTTTGGTTGACGAAGCAACAGGTAAAGACTCACTGTAGGACAGGCAGCTCAGAGGTGATCATCCTGACTGCTGCAGGGGAGGGATATGTGTCCTCAGGAAAGGATGTGTGTATGTGGTCTGCTGGAGGGAGGGGTGTGGCTCGGGTGCGGGTCAGCCGTGCGCACGTGTGTGTGTGTGTGTGTGTGGGGGGGGTTCACTCAACACTGGGGACACAGCTCTCACAACACACCAGCCCCTAGAGAGAGAGAGAGAGAAGAGAGAAGAGAGAGAGAGAGGGAGAGGAGAGACACACAGTTTAGTCATGTCACAAATGCCTGGTGATTTAGTTTGGAATATTCTCAACATTTATGCAACTTCAAAAAGAGAAAGAAAAAAGGAGAAAGAGTGAGTAGTAGAGGAGAGATAGAAGGGAGGGAGGAGGAGAGAAAGAAAGCAGGTAGCGGAGAGAAGAAAGAGTTGAAAGGGAGACACCAACTGGCCACTTTAGGAAGTGCAACAGTAAAGTCTAGAGGGGGCGTGGCAAGAGTGTGCAAACCCGAAAGAGGTCTAATCATTTCAACAACATTCTAACCAATTCAATTACATTTAATCATTTCAACCACAACATTACAAATTCTAATCATTTCAAACAACATGAGTTCAACTTTTAAAGTGAAGAAAAAGTATCTTGAAAAAAATCTTCACAACGAATCCCATAACAAACCCAGAATGTTTTGCTGTCAAATCTGATCCTTTATGAAAAGGGACAATCATTTTTTCCTGGTCAGACCCCAGAGTCTTTCATGGTTGCAAGGTCAGGAAAACTCTAGGGCTCCTGCTATAGGCTATAAATAAGATTCAAAGTTTGTCCTAGTCAGGTTGCTTGCCTGACCAGGCAAAAACTCCTGACCCTATTTATACAAAATAACAGTCATTACTAAATATAAGGCCTAGTGTAGTAAATATATATTATGAGTGGATGCAGTACCCTGCTTCAGCCACCAGTGGCAGTATGATCCACAAAGTCCTCTCACCTCCACCAACATAAACACACTTTATACGGCTTTAACAAGGTTTTAATTATTTGAAAAATCATCTAACCTCTCAATAAGTTAAACGTGAGTTTATGTAGTGTTTTGTCTCTTAGTTGAGTGTGTCTAGGGAGTATTATGGAGGGTGAGTGTGTGTGTGAGTGTGTGTGTGTGGCTGAGACTGGCCTTAAACAACAGTAGGGGGCAGGCTAGGAGAGACTGTATTTAAATGTTCTCACACACAGAGAAACTGGTGAGAGCTTGAGCACACCAGCCGAGAGAGTCTGTTACCAACACATGCACATTGCACACACTTACCCCTCTGTCTGTCTGTCTGTCACACACAGCAGGGCACACAGAGAAGTACTGAGAGGGAAGAGATGATGGATTCTCAGCTTTATCTCAGCTATTGCTAGGTCTATCTACTCTTGTTTATAGTCTAACAATGTATTTGATGTTTGAGATAATTTACAAAATATAGCTAGTTTGTACCGCTATATAATAATATACATATGATCATTTATTGATTTATTTTATCGATTAAAGTAAATTGTTGATTGGACTTGTAGGTAGAAGATGTCCGTTTATTTTTTACCCAATAACATTGGTACACATTTTGAGGTTTTAACTAATAAAAGGTTGTGGGTTGTGAAGATCTGTGAAAACCATCAGCTACTGTCATTATGTAGTACAACCCCCTACCACCACCACACTTCTAGCAACATCTCTCCAAGGATCACTACGCTCCCACTGTTGGCTGAAATGTGCTCTCCTTCTCATCTGTCCCTCTCCTTCCTTCCTTCCATCCCTCCCCAATTCTATATTCTCTCTCTCTGGAGAAAGAAGGCTAAAGCAACTGTGAAAATCTGTGTGACTGGGTTCAGACAGTATTTGAAAGCTGTGCTGTGTATCACCTTGGCAGAAGGCCAGAGATGGGTGTCTGCCAGAGTTGTTATTGACCATCAACTGAATACTACTACTACTCCTTAATTAACATAGATCTCTCTCTCTCTCCGTCTCACACAACGAAGCCTGGAGGGAGTGTCTGTTCCCTGTTAAAAAGAGAGCAGCCAACACACACGTCCACCTGTAGTCTCTGTTTTCCAGTTACTGGGCTCTGACAGCTTTGGGAGCTGCCTGGGTGAGAGGTCGGTGTGTGTGTGTCCCTTCGTCACTGAGCAGAGCAGCTCCACAAGGAGAGACAGAGAGAGTGGAATTGTGGGATTGTACTGCTCAGAGCACTCTGAAGCCCTCACCCTGACATTCCAGGTGGTGCTGTGGCAACAGGAATGTGTGTGTCATACTACACAGAATAACCAGAGCTTCCTCTGCTATAATAGGCTAATCCTGCTTAGAATCAATGTGAGAGATCACACACACAAACCTGGAGGCAGGCCGCAAGGGCTTGTATAACAGGTTACAGAGACAGTTATCCAGTGCTCATATTTTATCATCTGTGGTCTGACCGAACACACATATAACTATGTGTGTGTGTGTGTGTGTGTGTAAGCCACTTAACATGCATGACATGTACTCCGGGAGGCAGGCAGGCATTACCATGGCAACCCTTGTGGGTCATAAGCCCCCCCCCCCCCCCCCAACTGATTTGATTGGCTGAGCAGTGAGCTGAGCACAGAGAGAAGGGACCGGGTGGGGAGGGGGAGAGAGAGTGATGGAAGGGGGAGATTGGGGAAAGAGGAGGGGGAGAGGGACAGGGGGTAAGATGGCACAAAAGAGATGAAGAGATCCATTGTGATCTCTGGGGATCCGTTAGAAGTCCCTTCACTGCAGTTGTTCAGAATCTCCACTGCTTTCAACTATGATGACCTGTCAGATAATAACACATTATCCTTATGACAATCACCTACATTATACAATCATATTTCACCTGAATAAAGTCGGCCATGAGAATGCTGTCATAATGGGAACAAGGAAAGAGAGACCTGCCGCTAGGCTGCCTCTGTCCAACAAAGCTGTGGGAACTAACAGCAGCACTGAAGATGAGGAAAACACATCTCTTGGGAGGAGGAGGACAGTAGTCTACTGTCAAATATCCTTTCATTTGGCAGAGCATGAAGCTTCACTCACAGACAGCTCCATGTGATAGTGAGAGAAAAGGTGTTGCCTACATCAATAATGCATTTGAACAGGTACTCTTCTTCTTAGAGATCAAAACACACACATCCTCAGAGGAACAATGCAGAAATCTCAGTTTCTCCCTTGCTGCTGCGAGCAGACCCACGATTAAAGCTTCTGCACTCTAAAGAGCATCACTCATAAGAAAATAATCCTGTCCGAAACACCCCAGGTGTTTCCAACGGCAACTAGACGGAGGTGAGAAAGAGAGAAATAGCATATTAAAAGACAGCTCTCTACAGCACTGCTGCCTGCAATTACTGGGCCATTCAATCTGGACAAAGACATCTAGGCCTACTAGTAAAAAAGGACATGATTATATATTTTTCTGAAACATAATATCATGTCATTTGGATGAGGAATTTTTGCCGTGTAATTGTCCTTTGATCTAAAACAGTTGTAGACTGCAGAGAAATGAGGGCAGAGAGAGACCAGAGGACTCAGTCGTGGTACTAACACCACGCTACACTAGCTACGACTAGGACTCGGATGACACTGACCGCTCCAGCTATTTACTTATGTCTCATTTTAATACTGCCCATTCAGTTGAACACTGACCACTGTGGGGTTCTTATCCCTGAGGTTCTATATGAGAGCCAACAAGCCTGGCATGGGAGAGAGAAAGACAGAGAGACCATAGCATCCTTCAGCGGTATAATAGCAAGAGTTTTCACCTAAGGGGAATGACAAATAGAAAGGAGGATCAAATTATACCGATCAACAGAGAGTCTGAGAAGAGTGAGAATAGATAAAGAACTGATAGGAAAAGGAGGCGGCCAGTAGCAGCCCCATGCAGGTAAATGAGAGCTATAGAACTATCCTAACCCAGTCATACAAGGAAGGCCAGGAGAAGCAGACACACACCTTCTAAGGCAGGGGTCCCCAGTTACATTCAGCCATGGGCCGAGTTTTCCTTGAGCGGATGGTCGGGGGGCCAGAACATAGTTATAAATAATTTGACCGCAAAAATCCCAAACAGATACAGTGCCTTCAGAAAGTAGTCATACCCCTTGACTTATTCCACATTTTGTTGTTGTTACAGCATGAATTCAAAATGGATTAAAAGTTGTTTTTTCACCCATCTACAGACAATACCCCATAATGACAAAGTGAAACATGTTTCTATAATTTTTTGCAAAGTAATTGAAAATGAAATACAGAAATATCGCATTTACATAAGTATTCATACCCCGGAGTCAATACTTTGTAGAAGCACCTTTGGCAGCCATTACAGCTGTGCATCTTTCTGGGTAAGTCTCTAAGAGCTTTCCACACCTGGATTGAGCAACATTTGCCCGTTATTCTTTTCAAAATTCTTCAAGCTCTGTCAAACAATTTTGAGGTCTTGACATAGATTTTCAAGTAGATTTAAGTCAAAACTGTAACTCGGCCACTCAGGAACATTCACTGTCTTCTTGGTAAGCAACTCCAGTGTAGATTTGGCCTTGTGTGTTAGGTTATTGTCCTGCTGAAAGGTGAATTCATCTCCCAGTGTCTGGTGGAAAGCAGACTGAACCAGGTTTTCATGTACGATTTTGCCTGTGCTTGGCTCCATTCCATTTATTTTTTATCCTGAATAACTCCCCAGTCCTTAACGATGACAAGCATACCCATAACATGATGCAGCCTCCACTATGCTTGACAATATGGAGAGTGGTACTCAGTAATGTGTACACTTTGTATTCAGGACAAAAAGTGAATTGCTTTGCCACATTTTTTGCAGTATTATTTTAGTGCCTTGTTGCAAACAGGATGCATGTTTTGGAATAGGTTTATTCTGTACAGGCTTCCTTCTTTTCACACTGTCAATTAGGTTAGTATTGTGGAATAACTACAAGGTTGTTGATCCATGCTCAGATTTCTCCTATCACAGCCATTAAACTCTGTAACAGTTATAAAGTCACTATTGGCCTCA